AAAAAAAAAAAAAAAGGGGAAAAAGTCATTTGCCTCATTGAACTTAAATTTCTGCCCCACCCTTTTCTTTTTCCAGGATAGGTACATGCAGAACAGACTTGTCAGACTTGTTTGTGTTTTCCTTCAAAGTTTGATCCGGAACAAAATCATTAACGGTAAGTCAAGCCAAAATTTTGTTGGCTGTTTGTCCAAGATCCTAGATGCAATCAGAATCTGAAAACCGTTTTTTGTGGTCGGGGTTGCGGTGGGTCTTGTGAAACCCCCACCCCAAAAAATAAAAAAATTACTCATAGCCATAGCTCCATTGATTTTGTCATTTATGTAAAAACCAGTTTTACCAAGATGCTTGTTGCTAGTGTTTCATGACTTGTAGTAAAGCATAAATAGTAATTATTATCTATTATTTTATCAATTTGACTTATGACGTGTTGCAATATCAATAACTCTTTGTAAACGCTTTTGTTCATTGCAGTTCATGACATCTTTATTGAAGTTCAAGCATTCTGCATTGAGTTCTCACGGATTAGGGAAGCAGCAGGATTGTTTAGGCTTCTGAAAACCTTGGAATAGACTACCCTCCGTTATTAATCTTTTGGAACGTTCTGATGAACTTGTATTTTTCCTTGCATTACATTTTAACTTTAGTTTTCCCTACTATTTGTTTTCAATGTAGGTAAACAGCTAGGTGTTTATAGGGATTACAGGTAGTAGCTTAGCCTTGTTGATTTTCTTATCTGTCATAAAGAAGATTTACAATAAAGAAGATGGCAAGGGACAAGTCTATTAAGGTGTTTCCAAATGCTTCCTATTGGTATAAAAATAGACGCCCGTTTATTTTTCGTGGTGATCTCCTCTATACTAACGACACAATCATGTTGTATAAAGCTATGAGCCATGGTCTTCCTGGCAACATATTCAATGATCAATCAATATAAACTTCATGTGCAGTGAGCCTATTTTCAGCTTAATCAGGGTGGTGCTCACTGCATCTCTTGATGGGTTATCGGTCATATTCTCACCCTTTCACTCCTATTGCAGATGGTGAGAATTACGCCATTTCTTTGATGGAAATAANTGAAAAGCAGAGGCTCTTCTATTGTTAACTAAAAATATTTGATGAAATTACCGTTGATTTCGAAAATGGTTTTCATACAATTAGCTTCACAAACTTGAGCAAGAAATAAGGAAGACGTGAGAATAGTATTAAAAAGGACACTGCTTCATAATGGAGCATTGAAAAAGCTTGTCAGGAAGATGAGACTCGCTGAGACAAAGATTCAAAATTGTTTCTGCAAGTATTTTCATCTCTATAGGTGGATATGCATACCCATATATATGTTCTCTCTTCCTGCCACGTTTCCCATGTGATTTGCAATACTTGAACTGTTGATTTATTTATTTATTTATTTTTTGGGGGGACTTTTCTTTTCCCTCTATGAATGAAAATGGAGGAGGCTAGGTTAGCCGAAAATTAATTATCAGTTCAAAAACATAAGATGTCCATGGTTTTTCAGGATAAGAAGAGCTAGACAGTGAAAATGTCTCGAGCTAATGTTCGAGAATGAATGAGATTTTGGGATGAATTATTCTTAAACACACTACAATGAAAGTTGTAAGTTGGGTTAGGAGGGAGTTATTGTCTATCGTCGACCTTTATCGTAAAACCAGTTGAAGGGCTTGAGAGGTGGTGGTTTACCCCGTTGTTTATCTTTGGAAAGATAGTTTTCCAAGAAAGCATGAGCTAAATAAATGATAGTAGAAATGGAATATGTCAACCAGGGCCGGACTCAAACATTTCGTATTGTGGGGTAAGAAATGAATATTCAACATTTTTTAAAACAACATATCAATAAAGCAAATAAATCAATACATTACTACAAGTGTAGCCTATGCATTTTCATACTCTTAAAAATGTCATAATTATAGCATTATCAATATTGTCAAGTACATCGTTCTCAATATATACAATCAAACTATAACTTAACCATTGATCTTCCATCTGGTTACTTAGTCGATTCTTGATAATCTTCATTGCAGAAAATACTCTTTATACCTAGCAGTAGCAACCAGAAGAGTTAACGTAAATGTTATAAGCCTGTAAATTAATTGGTACATCAAATTTTTTTGTCACAACCAACTTTTCTACAAGATCATTAAGGTCTCGTAACCCTTCAAAATCTTTTTCAGTATGCATATCAATAACATATGTCTGAATTTGCTCTTCAAGTGCTAAGATCTCTGTTGGTTTGAATTTTTTGAGATAAGACTCGGACAATTGAATTAACTTGTCCTTTAGAGAAACAATTATTCAACTCTTGGATTTACATATCGATGACTGCTTAGAAGAAATTCACACGAAAATGATGCAGATTTGTCATTCCCTGAGTGTTACGCTGTGAATGGCCTGGAGGTATAAACATTGTACCTTTTGTAAAAACAAGAAACTGTTCTTAAAAATGATTCATATTCACTCTCTCGTTGCTTGAAGTCGTTCTTTACATATTTTAGCTAATTTCATAGTGTTGACAATATCTTGATCTCTCATTCTTAATAATTTTGACAATTCATCCGAAATACCCAATACCTTTTTCATGAGATGCAGACGAATACAAAATCAAATGTCAATATAGATTCCAACAAAATACGCGCTTCACATCCCTTTTCACAACTAGTGTCATCAGTGGCAATCATTTCAATAACATCAATTGTGGCAGAAAACATGAGAATCAAGTTAAGAAAAGAACAATAGTGAGAGGCCCAACTAGTATCATGTCGCTTAAAGTAGTTTTGAGACTAAGACCCTTCCACTTGAGATTTTACCAAGATTCAATGATTCAACAACTTCAAGCCTCTTTTTCTCTTGAAGAAGATCGCACCGCTTAGTCTATCCTCCAACAACATTCACCACTTCAGTCACTAAAGCAAAGAATATTTCAATATCTGCACGCTTGTTTACCACATCTTACAAGAGCTAGTTACAGTTGATGAGCAAACACAATGAATATAAAAAGAACTTAGATTCTCTTTCAAAATAAGTACTTTGAGATCATTGTACTTACCTCACATATTACTTGTCCTATCATAAACTTGACCTCTTAAACTAGATATACTTAAGATAAATCTAGAGAATAAGTGATTAATAAATGATGCGATCCATGGAATGAAGGCAAGTCCAGGCAAAGATTTGTTGATCGTTGAAGAAGGGCTTATGACTAGGTCGTGAGCGAAGAGGGTAAAGGAAGCAATGTGATTACTCATTCAAGCTATAGTAGACGAAACATCGAAATAAGTTTCATGTTGGGCACGAGATTGAGAACAAGTTGGTTCGACGTGATTCAAGCATTGGAAGAAAGGGCAGACGAGAGGGATAACTATGCGACCAAATAGTTAACCAAG